TGTTTCTGCTTCCAAGGCTACTGAAAAGGCTTTTGTTTTTGCTAGCTTGTTTTGTGTATCACTTGTTAAATAATGCTGAATGTAATCCACTGATCTTGTTGGCTCTCTCTGTCTCTCTTTTACTTGCTTTTTTTAATCTGCTCTGCCTCCCCAATCGTGCTGGCCAGGAGAATTTTCCTTTAGGAGTGCCATGAATGCTGTGCAGTCACCAGTATCTGTGAGAGGTTGTAGTAGTAAACATATTGCTGAATCAGTGCAGCTCAAAACTTGGCACACTTAGGCATGGGAGCTGGGAATTCTAGAATCTCCCACTGCAGGTTGGGTATTGTGTAAGCTTACCTTACGCTCTGCTGAGCAATGGAGATTCCTTTTTTCGTGCGATAAGCGTCCGATGCTCCCCTACTGAGCACAGGAATAATGCAGGCTGCGTGCCATTGTCCTCAGTTGCTCTAAGCACAGTTGTTTTGGATCTTAGGTTTAAATTCCACAAATTGTAATTTTAGTGAAGGTATTCATTAAATATCTCAGATTATATTTTTGTACCTTTGATGGGTTTTTCCCATTGATTTTGAGAGAGTGGAAAGGAAGACAGGAGACAGATATATATATATATAGAGAGAGAGAGAGAGAGAGAAAGAGAGAGAGAGAGAGAGAGAGAGAGAGAGAGAGCGCGCGAGCGCGCGCGCGCATGCACACAGATATGAGAAAGATACATCAATTGGTTGCCTCGCATGCACTCCAGCCTGGGGTGGGAAGGAATCTGCAACCCAGAACAGAAATTGAGTCCACCACCCTTCAGTGCATGAACTGGTGCTCTAACCACTGAGCACACCAGCCAGGGCCCTTTGTTGGACTTTTCACATAAAAATATGCATTCTTGCCCAAAGAAAACTTACTGTTAGCTCATCCGGGCCCCCTCCTCTGGACTCCCACAACAGTTTGTTCACTCGGCTGTTTGGGCATGGATGGCATATTTCAATCTTTCTATTTCCTCAAGGTCTAGAACCACTAAGTGATCATTAAATACTAGATGAATTACAGTTGCTCATTGTTCCACAAATGAAAACTAATTGCCTACTTAACGTTAGCTATGCTATGAGATTCTTGGGGGAAGAAAAACAAGGTTGCCATAGATATGGCCCCACACTCCAGGTGCTTACAGACCTGGTGGGGAAAGACCAAAACATCATCACTGCCACCAATAACAACAACCAAAAGAAGCTTAAAGTGTGGTAAGTGCTCTGAAAGGTTATAGCAGAGGAGGGGACTGTGCTAATTAGAAGTGGAAAGTTTGCCATAGCTATCAATAGGCCTGTGATCAGTGTTATTCAGGGGATGGGAAATTTTTACTTTAAAAATTTACTTTTACTATTACAATTTATGAAAACACTAAAGGCCTGTTGCATGAAGATTCGTGCAATAGGCCTTCCTTTCCCTGGCTGCCAGCACCAGTTTTCCTCCGCTCCAATCACAGCGGAGAAGCTAAACCTCTTCAGTTTTTGGTCTTCACTCTGCTCCTGCATATGCAAATTAATCCACCATCTTTGTTGGGTTAATTTGCATACATACCCCTGATTGGATGGTGGTTATTGCAGAGGTACAGTCAATTTGCATGTTTCTCTTTTATTAGTGTAGATTTCCTCAGTTAACAAATGGTCTGTGCTACAAAATTACAGGTTTCTTTAAAAGCTCCTTGATGGCTTTCTATAACATCAGAATGAAAACTCCATGCTGTGGACCATAAACCTCTGCACTGTCTGGCTTTTCAAACTTCATTGTATTCCACTCTCTTTTTTTGGGTGGGGAGGTTTGTTATTGAGATATTGTTAACATATAACATTAGAGTAATGACATACATTAAAATATGACATAATTATATAACATTATATTAACATGATGTTAGTTTCTAGCGTGCAGCATACTGAGTTTACTTATGTGTATGTTGGAAAGTGATCACCACAGTAACTCTTTGATTTGGTTTACGGCTGCCCAGCCATACTGATCTCAAAGGTGCCTGTATGAGGTAAGTTTTTTCTTGCCTCAGGGCTGGTTCCTTCTCTGTGGATGGTTTCTGCTGCTCTTGGATTTAGTATCTTCTGTATTTGGTATCCGTGCTGCCTCTTCCCAGACTTCAGCCACCTGATTCACACCGCGCGCCTCACGCCACTGCTTTCTGGCTCCACACTTCGTTTTTGTCATAGCACCATCACAGTGTGTCATCTTACTTGCTTGTTTACCTGTTTTTAGTTATTTTTCCGCTGGATGTGGGAGCTGGGACTGTGTGTGTCTCGTTTACAAAACTTCCTGCATCCGGCATCTAGTTTTCTCACAAAAACTTACGACTGCTAACTAGCCAGCGACAATTTTCATTTTTTTCTTGGTCACTTTTTTCTCTTTTAGTTCCTTGGAGTGTGGCAAGAAAATGGTATTTTCTTTTCATCCTTTGGCCATAGACCTGGCTTCGGCAAAAATCGCAAGTGGCCGAAATAATTTTTGTAATATTTGTGCCTCTTTTTTACATCTCCATCCCATGCCCTTTTCCCCTTTCTCTCCATAAAGTCTGATCTTCCTACCATAGTCATTACCCTGTCCTGCCCCCCTTGAAATATGAAATTTGCTAAAATTCAGAAGCTCCTGTTTTTTCCTGAGATGAGTTTCCCGTCAATAGCCCCTGCGTTTCGGGTGTGATGGAGGGAGGTGGGACTGTGGCAGTGACGGCAGCCCCTGTGGTGGTCTGGACACGTTGAAAGCTTAGCATGTCAGGGGCCACGTGTATCTGAATGTGTTTGCAATCTTGTTGCTAACAGCTTCATGGAGACAACCTTGCCAAATTGAAATGTTCAAAAACTTTTTGCCCCCCCCCCCGGGGGGGTGAATTAGACAGTGGTTAGGCCTTTAAAGGTTTGTCAAAATGTAAATTTTTTTCTTTTCCAAGAGAGAAGTAGAGGGTTAAAAATAAAAAAATCTAGGTCAGCAAGGGAAAACACCCAGAAGGAAAAGTATCAGTTTATCATACGGTCCTGCCAAAGGCTCAAACTTAAAACCATCAGGATCGGTTGCTTGTAGCTGTTAGTGCCAAAAGTGGGCCAGCACCCTCACTGTGTTACCTTTAAAAAAGGGGGGGACATGGAGGGGGGGGGTGAAATATTATAATAATAAAATATAAGTTAAGTTGGCTAAACTCTTTGTTCCAGCTTTAAGCGGAATTCCTTAAGAGCATACCAAATATAAAAACGCATCCTGAGTTTGACTATAGGAAAGCTGGCTTGCCGTAAAGCTAAGCGTTTTGGTGGTTATCAGTCTGCCACTTGATCTAAAATGATCTTGTAACCGGTTGTTTGCCATTATATAAGCCTTGCTTCCAGTTGTAATCAATCGGTTTGGGACACAAGTCGACGTAAAGGAATGTCCGAACCTGCAGAGAACTTTCATGGATTTATTTGAGCCAAACTGACAGTTGCCAGGAAGCGAAATCTCAACAGATTGAGAAGATGCTCCAGAGAATGGTAGCTTTGCCATTTATTTTATACATCAGACCCAAAGGGGGTACGCGGCGTACGTGAAAGCCTTTGCTGGTAGGTTGGGAGGTGGGAGAAAGCGAAGCTGGGAAATCTCTGAGATGGGATGAAGAGTGAACCATAGAGACACCTACAGTATTTCTGTATATATAGAGAGACAGACATCAACATGAGAATGAAATATTGATCGGTTGCCTCCCATGCATGCCCTGACCAGACATCGAACCCACAACCTAGGCATGTGCCCTGACCGGGAATCCAACCTGTGACCTTTCATCGCACAGGCAATACTCCAATCAACAGAGCCATACTAATTTTTAAATGTTCTCCTCTCTCTATTCTGATTAGTGTATATCTGTCCTATTAATCTTGAAAATACACGTCATTATTTCCTTACACTGCTTAGACACAATAATTACGTTATCTCTAATATGTGTTGAGTCACAGGCACGTACTTCAGAGATTAAATTCAAAGTCCTTTCTGAATAGTCATCACCAATGCACGCAGCCCTTTTCCTTATCACCCGTCCGTCGGTCATTGCTAATTCCACCTTTGTCCTCTGAAAGTCACCTTCTCACTGCTGTTGCCCCCACCCAGAATACTGTCTGTAGAGAATCCTTTCCTACTGGTGAGACGTTTTATCTTTCATTTTAGCCTAAACAGGAAGCCTGTGTTTGTCACCAGTCAATGATCAGCGTCTCTTTGCCTTAGTTTCACTTTCTGTAAAATAGGTGTAATTAATGGTCCTTTCCTTCCAGGGTGGTTGTGAGGACTAAATGAGTTAATACAGGAAACATGAAAGCATGCTTAAAGTTTTTTGTAATAGTAAGTGCTCAATGAATGTTAACTGTCAGCATGAAGTAAAAAAAATCTAGTTTAAGATCCACAAAGTAAATACTCCTTTGCTAGCTCTTGGGGTATGCCTTCGGACCTCCGTTTTCATGTATTTGAAATGATTCGATCATTTATAAGATTTGTCCCCTGATAGGAGTGAAGGCAGTGAGATAACAGAGACCGTGAGCTCTGAAGTCAACGGTGAGGCAGCAGGAAGCACCATCAATAAGAACCAAAACTAAAAGCAAACCCCTGGCTGAAACCGGCTTGGCTCAGTGGGTAGACCGTCGGTCTGCAGACTGAAGGGTCCCAAGTTCGATTCCGGTCAAGGGCATGTACATTGCTTGCTGGCACATCCCCGGTAGGGGGTGTGCAAAAGGCAGCTGGTCGATGTTTCTCTCTCATCGACGTTTCTAGCTCTCTATCCCTCTCTTCTCCTCTCTGTAAAAAAAAAACAATAAAATATATTAAAAGCAAACCCCTGGTTTTCTGGTCCCGGTTTGAAAGTCTATTACCAGTTTGACTTTCATTATTTTAATTTATTCATGTAAATAATGGCTGACAAAACTTTTGTGTGTCCCCCCAGGTAGAGACCAGCCACCAAAAGCGGTAAAGCCTTCTCTCCAAAGAAAGGAAAGCCAGAGCCCATGAGCGGCCCGCGGTCATCCAAGAAGCGATGCGGGGACTCGCGCGCGGAGTCCCCCGTGGGCTTCGGGCCCGCGAGCACCCCGGGGTGCGTGCTGAGCAAGCTGTTCCAGCTGCCCACGCCGCCGCTGTCCAGGCACCAGCTCAAGCGGCTGGAGGAGCACAGATACCAGAGCGCCGGCCGGTCCCTGCTGGAGCCCCTCATGCAGCGCTACTGGGAGTGGCTGGTGGGGAGAGTCCCCTCCTGGATTGCCCCGAACCTCATCACCATCATTGGGCTGTCCATAAACATCTGCACGACGGTCTTATTAGTCTTTTACTGCCCCACGGCCACGGAGCAGGTAAGGAACGTCTCCAGCCAGTGACCAGTGACGCACATCGGTCACATACCAGAAACTCTGTCATTGGATTTCTAGGTAACGATCAGGTACCCTGGCTGTCAACTGTGTCCAAATATCCTGTCCCCTAAGACAGTTTAATAAAACTTGCTACTGCAGCCTTCCTCATGGGTACGAGAAACCACACGTAGAGGGTGGACTCTGATTCTGTAGGTAAATTACTGTTAGTGGAGATGAACACATAAAACATTCCTTTAGAATCAGTAAATCTCAGTTCTTTACAAAAGAGTTTGCTTTCTTTTTGGGGGGGTGGGGGGAGAGGGAGATGGCTGAATAAAGCCTTAGCAAAGTTTAAAACAATCGGAGAGGGCAGTCCGTGGTGGTGAGGGGGCGTGCTGCCAGTCAGTCACATCCACTGTGCTCCCCTCTTCCTTCCAGAGCGATGGTTGAGTATCGCTCTTTCCCCCGTAAACACCTGTGGCTGACAGATATCTCTGTGATCCTAAAAGGCAAGAGCAGAGTAAGAACAAGTCCCTGAATGCCTCTCCTCGGTGTCCCGCGTGGCAGCCATTCCGAAAGGAAGCGTGGACCTGCTTGGGGACGCCCTCCCCGGGCCTCCTCAGACGCAGCGTCTGCTGCTGCTTCCTCTGTTCCCTCTGAACTCAGCACATAAAACCAAAACCGAAACCAGGACCCCTCATCAGAACGGGCAGATTGTTTACTTGGTTGGCTTTAAAAATTTCCGTGTCGGAAAGTGAACTGCGGTAGTCGGGCGGAGGAAAGAATCAGACATTTGTTGCACCCCTCTTAATCAGGATGGTTGGTCACACGGAATCCAAGAAAATAGAAGCTGGTTCTCAACTCAAGGTGTTAAACGTGACCCTGAACCATGCGTCATAATGGCCACACATTTCTTGTATGTTTTAAGCTTCCAGTAACAATTTTCTAAGTAGTCATGTCATGTGATTTGTCCTTAAAGATGACATTGTCGTCATCTGTCCCTTTCTGTTTTCATCAACTCTTTTTTTCCAGAGCTCATTTCCCCCTCATCCTTGAACAAGTAGTTTAATTCCTCTTGGACCATACAAATCCATACAGAGTGTATGGACATGTTTCTGGTTTTTCCTCATTTTCTTAACTATCTTACTTTACATCAGGCAGGAGACTTAGAAAACAGAAACCAGTCTAGCTTTACGGAAGACGGAAGACAGTCTCCCAGGGCGAAACGGAGGCTCACGGGGAACAGGGCGGGATGCACAGGGTTACTCGGGTGTGACCCACTCGGTAGGGGCAGAGTGCGGCCAGTTCCAGGAACCAGCTGACAGGGGAGGGGATTTCCCGGAAGCCACCTCTGTTGTGGCCCGGCGCCGTCTGGACCTGGCCAGCAGGCCCTGCAGTGGTCAGGCAGGGACCTGCATGAACTTGTCTCCTCCACAAATATGTCCTTGGGTTCTTTAAAAAAAAAAAAAAAAAAATATATATATATATATATGTGTGTGTGTGTGTGTGTGTGTGTGTGTGTGTGTGTACACACATATTTATTGATTTCGGAGAGGAAAGGAGAGGGAGAGAGAGGAACATCAACAATGAGAGAGAATCATTGAATAGCTGCCTTCTGCATTCCCCTACTGGGGATGGAACCTGCAACCTGAGCATGTGCCCTTGACCGGAATCGAACTTGGGACTCTTCAGTTGCAGGCCCACATTCTCTCCACTGAGCCAAATGGGCTAGGGCTAGAATGGACTTGTTTAAGCCAGTGTTTCCCACGTGAGTTTAGCTGGAGTTTTTTTTTTTTTTTTTTTCCCATGTAATCCCTGTAAACATCTTGAAAGAGACAATTTGGGAAACACGGTACTACATTATTCACTCATGGACTCTTAGAATCTAAATGTTAGAAATTACTGAGTCTTAGGGATCGTGGGATCTCTGGAATGTCCCCAGGACGTGTTACCCATTTCCTGCTTGAGCACCGGTACTAACTAAGGAATTTACTTCTTTCACAGTTCAGATCGTTTCGGGATGTTTTTCCTGGTGTAGCACCTGGATCTTCTCTCCCAGAGCTTCCCACCAGTGGAACATGGAGATGAGACATATTAGCCAACCACAGTCACGCATGTGTGTTAATCGTGCTTTTCTTGTGTTATGGCCCAGGCTCCTCTGTGGGCGTACATCGCCTGTGCGTGTGGCCTTTTCATCTACCAGTCTCTGGACGCCATAGACGGGAAGCAGGCAAGGAGAACCAACAGCAGCACTCCTCTGGGGGAGCTTTTTGATCATGGTTGTGACTCACTATCCACAGGTACTATTGACTTTTTTAAATATGAATGATTAATAGTGACAAAGGGGATGTGACACCCAGTGCTAGAATAAATAGGAGGCTTATGGTGGTATACTGGTTATCAGAATGGGGATTTTGTGTAAGTTTCAGGATTTCCCCAAAAAAATGTAGAACTGGTTCATGTTTGTTCGTTAATAGCTGTATTGGGAAATTTAGAAATTATATTAGTTTCCACTAAAGTTCTTCTTAACTGGAAGTGTTACTGTTTTGGCACCAGTTATTTTTCAAAATCTTATGGCATTGTTGTCATCATAAAAAAAAAAAAAATCTCATAAATTATAGATGTGAGTACAATAGTGGGAGACTAGGAAATTCCTAGTCTTTATATTTAGATGGATATTTTGTAGACATTTAAAATTATATCGTAGATTTGGGGTGCAAGTATGAGCAAAGGACTAGAAAAACACTAATAAGCTAGTGATAGTTGAGTTACTGTAATTAGATTATAGATATGTCTCTTTGTACTGTGTGTAAAATAATATCTCAGTATCTTTTTAGAGATTTAGGAACTAAAAGACGGTTTCTAGTCTCCTCCCCCCACCACCACCCACACCCTTATTTTTAATTAGTTCTTTAGTTGGTTTCTTGTCATTTGGCATAGCAATGAGAAGATTTTATTTATTTATTTATTTATTTATTTATTTTTTTTAAATATATTTTATTGATTTTTGTACAGAGTGGAAAGGAGAGAGATAGAGAGTTCGAAACATCAATGAGAGAGAGTCATTGATCAGTTGCCTCTTGCACACCCCCTACTGGGGATATGCCCGCAACCAAGGTACATGCCCTTGACCGGAATTGAACCCGGGGCCCTTCAGTCCCCAAGCCAACGCTCTATCCATTGAGCCAAACCAGTCCCGGCAGCAATGAGAAGATTTTAAAAGAAAAACAGAACCCTCCATGGTTTTACCTCGTGGACTCAGATTTGCAATGTGGGTGCACATGAAACCTGCTGTCTCTGCCGGGACCGGTTTGGCTCAGTGGATAGAGGGTCGGCCTTCGGACTGAAAGGTCCCGGGTTCGATTCCGGTCAAGGGCATGTACATTGGTTGCGGGCACATCCCCAGTAGGGAGTGTGCAAGAGGCAGCTGGTCAATGTTTCTCTCTCATCAATGTTTCTAACTCTCTGTCCCTCTCATTTCCTCTCTGTGTAAAAATCAATAAAATATATTTAAAAAAAAAAAAAAAAGAAAGCTGCTGTCTCTGTGCATCCTGACAGCAGAGTGATAGGCCCTGTTTCATTGTAAGTGACAGTCATTTTTGCTCTGTAGTTTGAGTTGGAAACTCATAGGGAAGTCCATCACGATATCTGCTAAGGAAGAAAAGACGGCTCTCCATCTGAAGCAAGAGGTCCCTTTGTGAATTATTTTTCCTTTTATTTTCTAAAAATATATTTTTATTGATTTCAGAGAGAAAAGGAAAGGAAGAGAGAGAGAGAGAGAGAGAGAGAGAAAAACCTCAATGATAAAAGAGAATCATCAATCGCTGCCTCCTGCACAGCCCACACTGGGGATGGAGCCTGCAACCTGGGCCTGTGCCCTGACCACACTCACCAGGAAAGGAACTGTGATCTGTTCATAGGTCAGCGCTCAACAACTGAGTCATACTGGCGAAGCTAATTTTTCTTTCTTTTTGACTCTGCTTTGTCTTTTTTTTTTTTTTTTAACTGCTTATTAATACAGTATCACTAAGTTGGGAGAATACTCCAAAAAAATGCCAACGTATTTTAGTTGCTTTCATAAACTTAGTGTCACTAAGTGGTGTGGAGCAGCGGTCACCATCCTGTAGAGAAAGGAAAGATTGAAATTGCAGGGTAGCCCTAGCTGATTTGCCCAGTGGATAGAGTGCTGGCCTGCGGGCTGCAGGGTCCCGGGTCCGATTCCAGTCAAGGACACATGCCTGAGTTGCTGACTCCATCCCCAGTGGCAGGCGTGCAGGAGGCAGCCGATTAATGATTCTCTCTCATCGATGTTTCTCTCTCCCTTTTTCTCTGAAATCAATAAAAATATATTAAAAAAAAAAAAAAAGAAAGAAATTCCAGGATAAACTATAATGTAAAAGATTATATTCTTTCTTGTTTACCATTGATAACAGATTATACATTTACAACATGTCTTTATTTTTTCTCCTCTAAAATCATTTCAGCTCAGTGGGGGGGTTTTTTTTGTGTGCGTTTTTTTTAATCCTCATTCAGGGATATTTTTCCATTGATTTTTAGAGAGAGTGGAAGAGAGAGGGAAAGACAGAAATATTGGTGAGAGAAACACATCGATTGGTTGCCTCCTGCACTCGCCCCAATCGGGGGCCCAGGCTGGGAAGGAGCCTGCAGCTGAGGTACGTGCCCTTTCGGTCCACAGGCCAGCGCTCTATCCACTGAGCCAAACAGGCTAGTCCAGCTCAATGTGTTATTCAGATTGTTCAAGTGTTCATTGTGCTCTCTCTTTTGCAGTGTTTGTGGTTCTTGGAACTTGCATTGCGGTGCAGCTGGGGACAAATCCTGACTGGATGTTCTTCTGTTGTTTTGCTGGGACGTTCATGTTCTATTGTGCACACTGGCAAACATACGTCTCTGGAACGTTGCGGTTTGGAATGTAAGTAGCACTTAACGGTTATTCTGTTTTATCTTTCAAGCAACAAGAATGTTGCTCGTAGGTATTTGAATATCAGGTATTGGTCAAATTACAAAATTAGTTTAGTAAATGAAAGAAGTTGACAACCCTCATTAGTCTAGCTATTACCTAAAGGTCTCCATTATGTGTCATTCTATCACAGTATTTTTGTTTTTTTATTTTTTTAAATTGATTTCAGAGAGGAAGGAAGAAGAAGAAAGGGATAGAAATATCAGTGATGTGAGAGAATCATTGATCGGCTGCCTCCTGCATGCCCCCGCAATCCAAGCATGTACCTTGACCAGAATTGAACTGTGACCTCCTGGTTCATTGGTTAACACTCAACCACTGAGCCACCCCAGCCCAACCTGTGTTTTATTTTGATCTATGAAAACTCATTTTCAGGAAAGAAAAAGATACTTAATAAGAGCAAAGAACAACTCTAATTTCTAAATATTGTAGCTTAATAAGGTTTTGTTCTTTCACATTGTTTTATTTATAAATCTATAAGAATATAAGCTCTTGGTAATTTGATTGACATGAGCACACCATATAGGTTATTACTGCCAACCAAGTGCCTAAGAATTTAAAAACTAAAATACAAAAACTCCCTTCAAACTTCAAAGTGAATAGTTCAGCGTAGTAATCCATAAATATTAATGAGTAAACCAGTCTCGGAATGAGGTTAAGGGTGGAATTGACCAACTGGTGTTTAATTAAGTATCACAGATCCTATTTGTACTGCTCAAGGTAGTCTTTGACTTTTTTCATGGTATAAGGTTAAAAGAGAAAGAACTTGAAAAAAGACTCAGAATGCATCATGAAATGTCAAAATAAAAATCTGATGGTAAATGATAGAACATCTTAACCCAGTCTCTAATTAAGATGAATCATTGATGGAGTTTTGAATTTTAGATCCATAATGAATTTAGTTGGTGACGTTTTGAAAGATACAGAGCGCATAGAAAGTCAGGTGTTCTCTATAAGTTTAGTTGAGATGACTTTTGCTAAACTTATTTAAATATAATTTAAGATGTTTTTAGCTTATGACAGTAACTAATTATTAATATTTTGGTTATTAACTAAGAGACATGTCTCAATCATTTCAAAATAAAGGGGTTTAGAGAACATGTTTAAGGCCCATTTTAAGATGTTATCCTTAGTATAAGAGACAATAGTGGATGGGAGTGTCTAATGGAAGATGGTATACATTGATCAGCAGTTTAAAAACGATCAGTGCTCAGAAAATATCTAAAATTTCTGATATTTTTAAAAATACTGTTTGAAAATCTTATGTACCTATTTTTTTCCCCTCAGACTTCTACGATCACTTGGTTTGCCTTAATTAAGTGATGGTACTGTTTTCAAAGATAGAATTTTTACTTTATGGATTTCACATAGTTTGTGTTTCATTGGTATGATCTCAGAGTTAACTTTCAGGCCCATATTCTGAAACAGTATTTATCACCTAGCCCTGATCCTTTAAGTAAAGCAGCGTCAGCCATGTGGTGTGAGCGCTGAAGGAAGGAGAGAGAAAGCCGTGGACGCAGGGGAGGTGTTAGTGGGCATCATTTGCTATTACAGCTTTCTGTTTGCCAGGCTTAAGAGTTCTCCTGGTGGCGTATTTCTTTGATGAAATACGTACTTGGAGAACTGCGGGCAGGGCCATACATTAGCGCATCAGATGCCTGTGGGCTGGAGAAGACCCCGGAAATCCAGGGCCTGTGTCCTGCCGAGAAGTGTGAGTTTTGGTCCTGAATCTGGAGGAACCTCTGCAGGGCCCAGCGCAGGGTCAGTCTGACAGCACTTTGATGAGCGGACTGGAGTGGCTGTGACGAAGGAAGGAGACCCCTTAGGAGGCATCAGCACAGTGAGTGTGAGGAATGAACCGGCACCAAGACAGTGCTGTGGAGAGGAAGGGGAGGGTGGAGATTGAAGAGGTAGAAACTGTGGGCACCTCTGTCTGGATGTGGAGAGTGAGAGCGAGCGGAGGCTGCATGGCTCCCAGACCACCTCCCAGGTGGCTGGGCGGAAGGTAGAGAGAGGCACTTAGGGAAAGGATCCGAGAGAGAGAGAGAGAGAGAGAGAGAGAGAGAGAGAGAGAGAGAGAGAGAGAGAGAGAGAGAGAGAGACACATTGATTTGTTCCACTCAATTATGCATTCATTGATGGATTCTTGTATGTGCCCTGAGAGAGGGAGAGGGAGAGGGAGAGGGAGAGGGAGAGGGAGAGGGAGAGGGAGGGAGGGAGGGAAGGAGGAAGGGAGGGAGGGAGGGAGGGAGGGCGAGCGAGCGAAACATTGATTTGTTCCACTCAATTATGCATACATTGATGGATTCTTGTATGTGGAGAGAGAGAGAGAGAAACATTGATTTGTTCCATTCAATTATGCATTCATTGATAGATTTTTATATGTGCCCTGACCAGGGATCGAACCCCAAACCGAGGCATGGGGATGACACCCCAACCAACTGAGCTGCCCATCCAGGCCAGAGGGGCCTGTTGAAGGGAGAGTTCTATCTAGAAGGTGTTTCTGGGAAGGTTAGATGTCCGATGGGATAAGAATAGCAGAAAACATAGAAAGCAAGCCATAGAAAGCGACCGTGAGATTGAACAGCCGGAGTAGGAGGAGGCATACGGGAATGGGTTTTGAAAGAGAACAATGCTGAATGCTGCCAAGACTCCACACGAGGACAGACGCGTGTGCGGTGGATTTGGCAGCGAGAGGCCGGCAGTGGTTTCTCTGTAGCGGCGGGCAGGAGCCAGGTTGTGGGATGACGAGTGAAAGGAATACATAAGCACGCAGCGCAGTCACGTACAGATCGGGTGGCTGTGGTGGAAAGCAGCAAGAGGGAACGTGGGCTCAGAGGAGGGAGGGTTTTATATTTTGTAAAAGTTAATTCCCATTAGTTTTAGTGGGGAAGGTCCCAGCATACACTGGAAGTCAGTCGACTAGAGAGCACTGCAGGATGAAGACAGGGGCACTGCCTTACAGTGCTGTGAAAACCCACAGGGAGACACTGACGCCACGTTGAGTTTAGCATCTCAGTTTAAGTTAAATAGTATTTGTAAGGGATTGGTTTTTATTTGGGAAAATTGTATACTATTTTCTGAAATCCTGCATTCACATTAAGGCAACGCTAAATTGATAACTTTAAATTAAAAGTATAAGTTACCACATTCATAGAAGTATTCTGCAAAGGCTTTACATTTAAGAAGATATTTATCCAAATGCCAGTGTATATGGAGTAATAAAGATGATCTTTAAAGAAGTTCTGAAAAGGCCGTTTGGAGCTCACATGTTTTGCGAGAGCAGGTAGAAGAGGAACGTGACTGATGAAGTCCAGTCTGTATCGTGGAGGAGAAGCCCAGCGTTTATTTTGTTTAAGTAGGAAAGAGCAGGTCAACTCTCAAATGAAGTTTGAATAAAGGAATTTTTAAAAATCCCTTTTTCGCCCTGGCCGGTTTGGCTCAGTGGATAGAGCGTCCGCCTATGGACTGAAGGGTCCCAGGTTTGATTCCGGTTCCCAGTGGGGGGTGTGCAGGAGGCAGCTGATGGATGTTTCTCTCTCATCGATGTTTCTAACTCTCTATCCTTCTCTGTAAAAGATTAATAAATTATATATATATTTTTAAATCCCTTTTTCTTAGAAGAAAGTATAAGCAGCCTTAGACCTCTTAGGAATTTTATTTTTAAATGTGTGGGGGTTTTTTTCTTTTTTAATATATTTTATTGATTTTTTTTACAGAGAAGAAGAGAGAGAGATAGTTAGAAACATAGATGAGAGAGAGACATCGATCAGCTGCCTCTTGCACACCCCCTACTAGGGATGTGCCCACAACCAAGGTACATGCCCTTGACCGGAATGGAACCCGGGGCCTTTCAGTCCACAGGCCGACGCTCTATCCACTGAGCCAAGCTGGTTTCGGCAGGAATTTTATTTTTAAATACTTTTACTTTAATTATTTTATTTTGATGTTTACACATGTGTGAAAAAAATCACAAGGATTTTTTTTTAATATATATCATAAATTTAGGTTGCTGTACCTTTAATAACTTTTCAAAATAATTTAAGATAGAATTCTTTCTTAAATTACCATTTCAGAAAAAACAACCCTCTTTATTTTTAAAAATATATATATTTCATTGGCTTTTTTCAGAGAGGAAGGGAGAGAAATACAGAGTTGGAAACATTGATGAGAGAGAAAAATCGACCAGCTGCCTCCTGCACAGCCCCCACTGGGGATATGCCCACAACCAAGGTGCACGCCCTTTATCGGAATCGAACCTGGGACCCTTTAGTCTGCAGGGCCGACACTATACACTGAGCCAAACCGGCCAGGGCAACCCTCTATAAAAAAAATTTTTTATATATATATATGAATGTGGGTCAGTGAAGGAATGCGAGGCATCCGTGGTTTCCCGGACACACAGATGTCTGCACATCGGGGCTTCAGGGAAGCACTTATCCACGGGCCTGTCTGCAGAGGTCCCGGCCCTCAGGTTACCTTCCTCCCAGACGGTGTGATTACTTGCCAAGCATCGTCACCATTCCCAGGTCTCTCAGTGCTCACTTGGCGTTTCAGGTCTAGTGTTTCCAGCTGCCGATTTACAAGTCATTTATTCAGTGTTATGGTTTTAATGTTTATGCTCTGATACGACTTGGATTTGGGTAAGAAACGTCCATGGATGCATAGGACAGCCATAGAATTGTATAAACGATCGTTGAATCTTTAGACGTCTTTATAAGGAGAATGCCACGTTTTAAACCTCGCGTTGTCACCTGTGTTAGTAGGGCTCTTCAGCAGAAGCTCTGAGTAAAGCTCTTTTGAAATGTTTGTTTCCTTATGCATAGATTCGATGTTACAGAGTCCCAGATCATAATTATAATATGCCAGCTTCTCACAGGAACCCTGGGACCTTGGTTCTGGAACTCCACGGTAACTGCTAGAATATTCATGCTGTCCAATGAACAAATGGC